CCTTTTCACTGCGATTGTTTCCTACATGCCACGTTTACCTCTGGTTGCCTGGATCGTAAATTTCAACATTAGCATGTATTTCACACAGCTGCCTTTTTTTCTCTCTCTCTCAAAAGGAAACCTAAAAGTTGATAGGCAACATGAGGAAATTGCCAACAATCCCATGTGTTTGTGCACACACAGGTGTGTGTATGTGTGTGCATATATATGTTTGTGTATGGGGTATATGTGTGTGTGTGTGGGCAGCGGTGGCACAGGAGATAGCACATTGCACTACAAGCCAAATGCGCTGAGTTCAACTTCCGGTCAGGATGAACAGCATGTATCTGCTATGAAGAAGAAGCTGACATGTTGCCTATTTTTTTTTCATTTTAACACCAAGGTGTCATTGATTCATGTGATGAGGTTTTGTGTTACTTGTGCGTGTGCACCACTGCCAATGCAGAATCTCAAAATAATGTATGAACCGGTCCCGGGCCTTCCAAAAGGTTGCCTCAGCCTCAAATGGGTAAGCAGTGTATAAACATTTAAACTGTGGAGAAAAATGCAGCCAGGCGTGGTGCTAGCCACAAAACCCCTTCTTCCATTGAGCCAGCCTTGAAAATGTACTCGCGAACATGAACAGCAGCAACGGTCTATGCAGGCTCTGCAACGGTCTCTGCAGGCTCTACAGCGGATCTGGTTTGTGCATGTGTGTAGTAGCGAGGAGTGAGCAGTTTGAGGAATTGCAGAGGCAACACTAATGCGGGGACGTGGATTAAAAGGGGCAGTGAGAAGGGGTTGTCGGGTTATGCAGGGCGATGTTGGGGGGGGGGGGGTGTAGATTTGTTGCACACTGTGCCATGGTGGTGTCATTGATTGACCGATAATGAATGCATGCAGCAGGCACTGCTTAGATTCAGGGAAGCATGCTGTTCATTAATCATTCACACCTGCTTCAGCACAATCCAAAACCTGGCACAGACCCGTTTTTGTCAGATTCATACCATCCAGTCGCAATATACGCTCTGCGTTAATGACTGGGGGAAACGATGAGCAGCACTGTTTATATTTGCATAATGGCGAGTTGTCTGAGCTCGCATCTCATATACACGCAATAAAACTGGAATTAGCTAAATTTTGGTCTGAAACTGTCATACGCCAATTGTATACAGTTGCAGCATGTATGTTTAAGATTGCTCCAGTATTTTCGTTTGTTCACAACATAGGTAAGTTTCAAACGAAATTAATTTGTTGAGCAGTCCATACTCCTGTAAGCCGTAGCCAATCAGGATAACTGACTGAAGGTAGCATGATTATATGCAAGACATTCTAGATTGGTCAATTAGTTACTGTTCAATGAAACGTGCAAAATACCATCATGGTGGATAATTGCATTTGCTGTAATTGTTGGGGTTATCAAAAGAGCATTTGTAAATTACACAGTAAAAGGTAGACACATGTTACACTCTAAAAATCAGGCCAGAAATAAAAGTGTGAATAACACTGAAGAGCATTTAAATTACCCACCAACACACAATTGTCAAATACAACATTCGTATCCCTCGTATGAATTAAAATTACATACAGTGACGAATATGTCACTCTTGATATGGAGGGCCTTCGGATTCCTGTGACTTTACAGGTGCCACTGAGGGCCCTGACGATTAGAGTTCATTGGGTCATTCCTAGGGGCCGTCCATAAATAACGTCACGCACCTGGGGGGGGGGGGGGGGGGTCAAACATTTGTGACGATGTGTGATGAGGGGGGGGGGGGTTGAGAAATGTGACGTCACATCAAAATGCGCAACTTTAAATGAATATAGACAACATGTTCTACTTAATTAAGTAGACTTTTTAATAAATGTTTTCTCCTACAACATCAGAGTGCAGTGGCACATTAAATACGCACTACAATGACAATAGTTTAAAGCGATTTGCAGCATATATTTTTTTGGGGGGGGGGGGCAGAGCTTTGTGACGTCATATTTGAGGGGGGTTCTGACTTTTTGTGACGCCGTGTGACGAGGGGGGGGGGGGGGTCAAAAATCTTCCAAAATCGCGTGACGTCATTTATGGACGCTCCCCTAAGCATTTGCTGACAAACAATAATATGTACATACCGTATACACAGCTATTTAAATAATAAAGCACTGCACTTGAAATTACATTTCAAACGTTTACCAGAATGACTCACTCACCAAAGGCAATGACAGCCCAGGCAATAATAATCCTTACCTCTAGAACTCAATTCAACACAAGTCCCACTCTTTTTCATTTTAGAGTGTTATGCAACATTGGCCTAATAAGTAAAACCACCTCGACTCAGGATAAATTAAGATACGGATTGTTAATTTCTCCCAAAGGCCCCCTGCATTACAGTTTACACAGTGCTAGATAGAATGAGAAAACAAAGCATGTGATTGTTCTTGAAAAAAAAGATACGAGTGCTTCACTAAACATAAGGAAATATAGTATACACATGGATGAGCTAATGCAAATTAATAAAGGCCATTAAGTTATCCCAAAGCACGCCGATTCTTACTGTGCACACACACTTAATTTTGCGGAAAGCAATGAATGCTTCCCAAGATTTCTATTACTCTGCCCAAGGGACGACTTTCCAGCAACACGGGGCATTCCACATTTTATCTGATAAGCACTGCTGTTACGCGTAATATTATCGACAGTGCACACGCATGTGGTAAGCGCTGGATATCAGAGACCGTTGTTACCCAGTGGCCAGGACACGGGGTTCCTTTGCCTGATTCTCACTCGACTCTGGGGGATTCAGCCAGTTACATCCCTTGGCCAAAGGTCACGTCATCAGCATTCACAGCCGGATCACCGGGCCATATAGCCTCCCTGGCCCACGCCTTAACAAGTTAAGATTGTGCAGCCTAAGTTAAAGCTGGGGCATGCGTTAGATGAACGCATTAATTTTCTCTCCGAGCTAAGGAGATGACAACGTACGATTGAATTGTGATCCCTTTTGCTTAAAGTGTGCAGGGAAGCATACACCCCACAGTGTGGTGCTGTGCATTAGTGACACATACAAGAGGCTAGGTAGTGTCAAACTCAGATAGATATCTCCGTGGGAATGAATCCCATTAGAAGAGGATATATGGAAGCGCATGTGTTTTTGAGGTTTAAAATGAAGTGTCTTCTTGCATAATGACAGAACTGCCTTTCCACGCGAGACTCGCATAAATCAATGTCTCGTTACGCAATGTGAATATATAGGGATAAAGCAGAGACAATAAACTTCCCCAAAAAACATTAATGTGTCAAGTACAGTTCCTTTATGAATATGTATCACATCTGAATGTACGTTTGTAGAGTATGTGATGTAAAAATAGCAACAAAATAAATTGAATGTGATTCAACAATGTGCCAATAAATTGTTCATATAGGCGGCACAGTAAATACATCTGATACGATACTGGGCACAGAAGAAAAAAACAACTTGATGCGAGTCGTTAGCATGTTCCTTTCGTACAGATCGGAGCATAGCATTCTGACTTGAAAACCCATAATGGAAAATTACCCATTTTGTGTTTTTTTGCTTGGTTGATGGTATGGTATCATGCGTTGCCATCAAAACGGCTGTCATGTCCCAAAATTGCAATTCGTAATGGTCCCCATATAATTATCTTGTCCTAGCTGCTTAGCATTAGACAGTTTAAACACCATTAGACACTATCACATCAAGTGTCATATTTTATTTATTTATTCTTATTTTTCCCTGACTCAACGGCTTTAGCTGCCTTCCAATGCAATACTATTTCTATAATGGGTTCCGCATCTAAGAATGAGTGGTGGAAGGGGGGGAACGCAGCTTCGTTAACTTGTTTAGTCATATTGCATTTGCATGCTTATATCAGTTTAATTGTTCTTCAGCAATGCATGCATTTAAACGAACTTACAATCGCCCCTACTCAAGGTTTGGGTGTCTGTCTACATTTAAGTATCTTGATAATGAAATGATAATAGATTTAAAAAAAAATTAATGTCCCTGATTATTGTATGTTATCGGTGAGTGAGACCGGTGAGAGCGTTGCGCTCCACAACGGCCAGCTACTTTGCCCTAAACCTTGCACAGACGCTGCTGAGAAGCGAGTATCTTTGCCAGAGCGCTGATTCAATGCGCGAGTGCGAACTAAGTCCCGACCAAAGAAATCAAGACCTAGATGGATATTACTTCATCTTTACAGGGAGGGGAACTGCGATATTCTGCTTGACACCTTGATCCATATGTCATATTTTTTTGTCAGCAGATGTCCGCTGCGCTGCGCTTCGCACAGACGCCTTGCCTTCAATTAGGCAGAGCAGCATGCACCCATGCTGAAGAGTGAAGAGCAATACATTCTAAAACTGCCACTGTTTAATACACAACACGAGCGCCCAACAAGCCCCCACATGTCAACCAGTGATCCTTTACTCACTTCCGTCCTTCCCCTCAGACATTCGCGTGAGATTACAATAACATTTGGACACACGAGTTACGCTATTCCTTACATACGTTGGTGCATGTTTTCTGTCACAATTGTTTATTATATATGAAAGAAAATTTACTGTCGACAAAAATACTTGGTATCATAATAACGCCAATATTTTTTTTCGGCAACCGCCTCTGTTTTGAAGATAATTTAAATTGGAAGTAACAAGTTCATGAATTCTCCTATCAATACGTAATGAGTGCCGCCTAGCACTTGCAAAGGGGGACGAGAGAGCCACTTATTCTAAACATCGCAATTACACTCGCAACATTTTGCCTACAATAGCTTATTGGTAAACTGCGCTCTCTCTCTCTCTCCTTATTACGTATTTTTGTTCGTACTTTGGAAAAAACCGACACCCACCCACCCAAGTCAGTCTCTTAACGTGTCTCGCATAGTAATAATGCATTGCCAATTCTTTTCAGCCGCGCTGGATTGGAGCTCGCGCTGAATTAAGTGAGTCCAAAGGCAGCGATCGGGCGAAAGCGAACGAGCTCGGGAGGCGAATGCAAGAAACCCACCTCGCTCGGACGTCGCAGAGCCCAGGAGGGCGACGAGGACGAGGACGGGGATGCCCAGGAGCGTGCCTGTAGCCATTATCGGCGCTCGTACTCCCGAACGCGCATGTAGAGACGAGCGAGAAGAGCAGGGGCGTCTGTATTCCGGCGAGCTGCAGGGTGAGCCCCCTGATTCGGGCTGAGTGGGGTGACTGTGCGCACGGAGGAGGAGGAGAACGAGGAGGATGCAGCAGCAGCGGCAGCAGCATCGCGCATTCGCCGCTCGGCGTCACGCATTCAGGCAAAGGGGGGGGGGGGGGGTGGCTTGCTCCTCTCTCCCACGCCTGCAGAGCTGTAATGAGCAGCACGGCCTGAGCAAGGTTCGCTTCACAGGACTCGACCATCTCCTTGCGTTGCGCAGGGGCATCACAGCACTTTTAACGACAGCATTTTTATTTTATTTTAAGACATTGTGTTTGTTGTTGTTATTGTTTGTTTGTTGGTCGTCTATTTCTCCAATGCACATAATGTACAGCTCCACCAAATATGCAGTAGATTTAATCCAATAACTATAGAAGTGGAGATGGTGAAATTATGTGTTTAGAAGAAAAGAGAGACTGGAGTTGTTCATATAAAATGTTGTTGGAATTTTTTAAATTAAATATTGAATTTACTTATATTGTACATTCACGTCACAAAATAACTTTCCAAATAGACTCCTTATAAAGAAGCATGATATGGAAATTTGATTTAATGTATTTGCATGTCTTGCAAGATTTGAATGTATTGGTTGTGCTGTTAATTATCTACAATAAAACCCCAAAGAAGGTAGTTGGATGCCCTCTATGCATTACAATGCAGTATTGTATACACATGTACCACACTTCTTCACAATGCGATCCGACCAATTCACACAACAATGTATACAATTTTGAAGAGCAAAAATATTTTCCGAATTGAAAATTATTTAAAAGTTATGTTTTAAAGTTTATTACATATGAACACTTGAAGTTCATTTCAATAATTATATTTTAAATGCCCAGAGGATACCTTTGCACTCAAAGCTTAGGACGTGTGTGTAGTATGGAGCAAAAAAAAACACGTACCAATATATGCCATAACAGTGCCCGAGTATGGATTACTTAGAATACCCTACCGTATAACAAGAGAAAATCCATTCAATCTGCATTCATCATACGGACATCTCCGTCCCAAGCATCCCAACTCACCAAGCTAGCGATGGACAGGAGAGCCTGTGCACATCACTAAAGCATTGCCATTGGGAGTGCAACTGTGTGTGTAATCCCGGCTGGATGGTCTGATATCACCACCTACAGCTGTATTATAAATACGCGATCTCGTGCTCGGGCAGCAGTTAGCGATCACAGCACAAAAAATAAGGCCTTTCTATTGCAGTGTGAACTTGGCAAGGAGAAAATAAAGTTGCGTTCATTCTAAAATATGACAAGGTAAATTATTAGGACGACAATTTGTTATTTTGCAAGTTATCTTCAGGTGTGGTGGTAATCGGTGATATATTTGCATTTTCTGTTTATGTATGTTGATCTTCTCTCGCATCATACAATTTAAAATATTGCTTCGTTAAATTAATTATCGTTGTAATATATTAAGCTCTCTTTTAAATGTGTACAGTATAGGATTTTTTTGCAATTGTTTATTAATGAAGCAACAACTTTATCTGGTCTCCCATTCTTAGAAAATGTATTTCCCAGCTGCTTGTAAAAAAAATAAACCATGAATAATGAATTAAGCCATGTGGATTTCAACTCCCTGAGAGCAGTGTTACACAACCATCGCATCGCTGATTATTGATTTTGATTTAAAGCATATGCATTCATATGCCATTGCTTTGTTCTCAAACTATTTTACAATGAATGTTTTACCATAATTACCGTCTCCATTCCCCATCGTCACTGAAATGGGATCAATGTGTAGTCACCACTGGCCACTGGGGAGTGCTTTTAAAATATGAAGGAATTATAATTGAACGAGTATTGTAGTCGAGGGTAGATGCGGCAAAACGAACATTACATACTTTTCTTTTGGGATATAGGACCAATTTTACTGATATTTCTTATACCATTTCACAACGTTGATTGTTCTAAAAACACTGATCATTGATTGCCGATTGAAGAGAATAATTATAATCTCATTATCACCATCGGCCATGATCTATCCATTGCTGCATGAATGAAACCCCAATCCATCACCATCCCTCGCAGCAATGCATCTAGTTCCACCTGCTCCATATCCATAGTCGACATCCTCTAGGGCAGTGGTCGGGAACCTATGGCTCGCGAGCCATATATGGCTCTTCCAGTGACGGCATATGGCTCCCAGACAATTTTGAGTTGAAAAAATTAATAATAATAGAAAAATACAAAAATCAGTTTGGAACTGATTTTAAAATACTTGTGATATTGTTTAATACTACGGTGTCATTTTAAAGTAAACAGAAATTAGTTTTGAAGATAAATTTCACGGGTCACGCCTGCATGAAGCTCAACCTCACCACGTATGAACCAGACTACAAGGCCATCAGCAAAACCATGCAGCACCAGAAGTCGCATTTAAAGTAAGACATGTTTAATTTATTATACGTTAAAAATACTATATGGCTCTCAATGAAATATATTTAGAAATATTTGGCTTTTATGGCTCTCCCAGTCAAAAAGGTTCCCGACCCCTGCCCTATTCAAGTTCCTTCCTCCCTTCTCCTAAAGTGTTCTATCAGGCGTTGTTTCAAGATTAGTTTTTTCCCACGCAGAAAATAAATTCTCCCTTTTTTTCTTTTCAACTTCAAACGCATTTTGTATCAGCATTCTAATCTTAAAATTACGATGTTGAATGAAGTCATGCAAGAAAATGTAGTTATTGTATGACAGTACTGTATACCACAAGCACCTATTTATTACAGTTGCAAAACATTAGGATGCAACTACACTAGACGTTTCCGTAAACATCTCCTTCGGATAAGATACAACTTGAGTGGGTAAACTGTGATTTGCATCTGTTTGAAGTATCAAGAATGGTTATTAACGAATTGGCTTGACACGTTCAAAATAATATAGAAACTATTGTAAGCGTTCGTTTCAGATACAAATGACTGAAAATGCCCATCTGAGACAGAGTTGCCCAATCCCCTTCCTGCCCTCTCTGTCTGGCTCGTCCCGCATCATCAGCCAGGGGACAAATCTATTCGCCAAGCGTTTTTCTTGCTGCCATTTGCAAAAAGGTCAGCGGCCCATATCTATTTTTTTTAGTTCACAAAAAATATATAAAAAGTGCACATTGCACCATCATGATTTATTGGAAATATACTTGTAACTTTGTTTTGATTTATTCGTTTCTCAAAAGATAATGTGGCATCATAATACATGTTAATTTACTCAATAAGATACATTTGTAATTCATTTTCTGGTCAGTGGTTTACAGAGGGGTACTTCCAGCAGCTATTGAGTAACCTTTTTAAAAAGATGAGCCATTGGTATTTGAAAATGAGCCAAAATGCATACGTATCAGCATGTGGCACTCTTTTTAGCAATTGTTTGGCTACGTGGATTTTTCTTAGAGGAGCTGTGTGAGCTAAATTACTTCTTTCAGCAGACCTAGTGTGCAAATCCATATTCATGTATGCCATCACAAGGGGAAAATGCATGTTGAATTAGGTTCCCCAGATGTCAAAAGGCCTACAATAAATTCCATTTATGTTTCTGGGGGGCTTGCTTACTCATTCTATATGATATAGAAGTGGCTACATAGATATGGACACAATTATAATTCAGTCATCCAGAACTTGAAGAAATAATTACAATGAAAATGCTTTTGCAATGAGAATAAGGCATTTGAAAGTATATTTTCAAATGTGTGTTTAAAAAAAAGAAATATAAATGCAAGCTCCTAAAAAGTAAGATCGGGGAGGTCATGTGGTAGATGTTGTTTCATGCCGTAATGCCATTCAACACAATCATTCAAAAGTTGATAAAACATGTACAGATATATGGAGGCTAACTGTAGTTAGTCCACGAGTTTTCCACAATTCCAGAAATATATATACAGTTCAGAAAATATATCAAATGTACACACATTAAAATTTCACGTTCTTTCATGATTGGTGTGAAAAGGGCCTTGATTTTTGAGATATTTGCTTTAATTCGTACTGGGTCAAATGCATTGTATTATGCCTTCCAAGGCTAGCTATAACAGTAATGACGTTTTTTTTGTTTTACCCAGAATCTGATTGATGGTATGTGGTCAATGGTAGAGCAACCTTTTCTAAACATGGATTTCACATGTGGTGAGTAGGCCTGTAGAGTTGTGTTCTGAAGTAAGATCATTGTCTGCAACATTGCTAAGAAATAGTGAAAACAGACACAGACATTGTTTTTAACGAATGTGTAGAATTTTTTTGTTAATCACACTCATGCACCACTGACAATCCAGCACCACCAAATAACTAGAGATCATAACACTAAACTGGCATGGCTCAGATCCTGGGTTTATATTCGTGCAGACAATGATAGACATCTGTGAAAAAGAGCTTCATAGCTCATCGGATTCCTCCAGTATAAATGTTATGATTCTGATTAAAATGGTTCATCAAGTGTAATTAAAATGGTATGAGCCCATAACTAATGACTGCACACGTAAAAAAAAGCATAACACATTCCTAAATTCCAGCACAAGTGCTTTTACATTTCAGTTTTATTGACATACAACAAACGCTGTTTGCAGAGCCTATAATAGGTGTAGCTCTCACATAGATAAAGAGACCGATTGAAGGAGTTTCGGAAGTACTTACAGTATGTGATGTCATCTTCCGGGGATGAACTCAGACACAGGGCGATGCACTCGTAGCTGCAAAATCGCGACTTAAAATATTGTCATCTCACGACATGACACTAAGAGCAAACATTGGAATGAGAAAAGGAAACAAACTATCATATTTGCTGAAGAGAGAGCCATTCTAAGAATCAATGAAATTAAACTACAGGACATCATTGCAGAATGAAATAAAGAAGACTGCTACATTATATTTTCTGGAAGTCCTAATATTTTCTGGAATTCCTAATATTTACAGAAATAAAAAATGTTAGGATTCAAGAAAACTTCAGATAGTGGCCGAGATAACGTTCATACTTTTGAACCACTGCAAGCTAAACATAATTAAAATGTATCTCTCAGCAACAAGCCGTGAAGCTGCAGATTTATACCAAAGGTATGAGGAAATTATCCATTCAACAAACACTCTTTGCAGAGCATATATACTAAGTGTAACTCTAAATGAGGGCAAATATACACTTCAATATCATAACCAGTAGTTTCAGTGTAAACATAGGTACATAGTGCAGAGATGAAAGGATGATCACTAAAAGTGGCATTTAAGTGAGAAATGTGAGAGAAGACCTATTCGTGTCTAAAGTTAGATGAAGATGAACACTTTTTTTATAACAGGAATCTGGAAGATGGACATGGAGAAGCCCAGTTGGCGAATTCAGAAATGGATTGCACTTGACTCTCCCAGAAAAAAAACCCTTCATATTAACAATTATATTTTGACTTAAACTTTCGTGAATTCAGTAATTCATATTATTTGGTTCTTTCGGTAAAGTCTGGTCTAACACCGTTTTGGTCTAACACCGTTTTAAGACTTGGCTCAAAAGAATGATGTCTCTGGCGTGGACCAATCAGTTGCAAAGATAATGCATATATTATCAGAGTATGTTTTTATTTTGCATTCTGACCACAAGTATTGTGGTTAATGCAGACA